GCTTCCGCGCCCTCGTGCCTGAACGGGATAGCTCTGTTCCCCGAGCCAGACTCTCAGCGATTTCAGGGGATCCCGATCCCGTCGTTAGTTGCACGACGGTACCAGCCCCTCAGCTCACTGTCCTGAGTCCGCCATGGCGCCGCAGCAGCCTCGCACGAGCTACACCATGTGCCCGACCCCGTCCTGCCGTGCTGGCAAGCAGTGGGATTGGAACTGGCGTATCATCAAGAATGGCGGAGCGTGCTCGGTGTGTGGACAGGCGCAGCAGCTCTACTCTCCGAAGAAGAAGAAGGACACGCCCAAGGGAGGATCGCCGAAGGGGCCTGGGCCAGCTGTGCCTGCCGCTTCATCTCCTGCGATCTTCAGCCCCTGGGGTAAGGCGAAGCTCATCAACCAGCTTGAGGCCCTTGTGCAGCAAGATGCATCGGTTACGGCTTCAGTTCTCGCCATCAAGCTGGCAGTCGAGACGCCAGCGTTGCCGAGGTCGCGCACACCCTTGGAGCAGCTCCAGTCGACGGAGGCCAAGGCGAAGCAGGCGGCCACCAACGCCCACAACTTCCTCTCGGAGATTGCCAACTTGGAGACGCGCCTCGAGCAGGCGCGCAAGGACTACGATCAGGCCATGGAGGAGCTCGTGGATGCCGAGGAGGCCCACGAGGCCGCGGTCCTGGCCTACAACAAGGATCGTGCCCAGACGGCTCCTGAGGTCAAGCCCGAGTCTGTGCCCGATTTCTTGGCAGCGTATGAAGATAAGCTCAAGAGTATCGCGATTGATGAGTACGAGGATGGAGAGGCCAAGGACAAGCTGCAGACGGCCCTCACGGCCATGGATGAGGCCAAGGACCAGGCCGCGGCGGTCATCCACGCCGTCCAGACGGCCCTCGAGGGGGTCAAGCTGGCTGCAGCGCAGGCGCCCCTCAGCGGCGGCGCGTGGAGGAGGCGGCGTCAGGCCCAGAGGCGACGGCGTCGGCAGGCGGCGCTGAGGGATCCCTGGGCCCAGCCACGAAGGCTGAAGGCGGCGCTGCGGTGGGCACCGCAACTGGCGCCGAGGGAGCCAAGGCGGCGGCCGCGGCCGCAGCCCCAGCAGCCCCGTCTGACGCTGAGGCCAAGGCTCGTGCCTCCAAGGTCAAGGCAGCACGAGAGCGACTTGAGCAGTCTGCTGCGAAGGCGAGCCCAGTCGCGAGGTCCCCTGTGGATGTCGGGGTGGCAGCTGCTCCTCCTGGCCCTGGCGGCGGCGGTGATGGTCGGCCTCCACCTCGCGCCAAGGCCCCTCCTCCGAAGAGGGGGTAGCACCACGCTGGATGATGTGGATATCGACCCCCTTCAGGACATGCATTTCAGCGACGACGATTGCTTTGGAGAGGATCTGGAGCGACCTCATTCTTCTGCGCCCAGCTCTATGCAAGGCGCGCATGCAGGCAGCCACCTGGCCCGCCCTTCGACGACGGGAACAGGAGTGAGCTGCGTGGCATCAGTGACATCGGAGTTGGCACCTTCGACTTCGGTCTCAGGCAGCCCCCATCTGGCCCGATCTACGGGGATGGGGACACGAGCGAGGTGCGAGGCATCGCCAGTTCCGTGGAGGTTGACTCCGTCGGCCTCGAGTCCAGGCAGCCTCCATCTGGCCCGCTCTTCGGGGGTGGAGGCACGTGCGAGCTGCGTGGCATCTTCAGCGACATCGGAGTTGTCGTCTCCGACCTCGGTGTCAGGCAGCCCCCACCTGGCCCGCTCTACGGGGATGGGGGCACGAGCGAGGTGCGAGGCATCGTCAGCTCCGTCGAGGTTGGCCCCTTCGACCTCGAGACCAGGCATCCTCCATCTGGCCCGCTCTTCGGGGATGGAGGCACGTGCGAGCTGCGTGGCATCTTCAGCTCCAGTGGAGTTGGCTCCGTCGGCTCCGATTACAGGCGCCCTCCATCTGGCCCGCTCCTAGGGGATGGAGGCACGAGAGACATTGGAGTTGGCGTCATCTACTTCGGTGTCATGCAACCCCCATCTGGCCCGCTCTACGGGGATGGGGACACGAGCGAGCTGTGTGGCATCGTCAGCTCCGATGATGGCGTCCCAGTCTACTACGGGGAGTGGCAGCCTCCATCTGGCCCGCTCTTCGGGGATGGAGACACGAGCGAGCTGCGTGGCGTCAGCAGTTACACGGTCGTCTCGTGAGGTACGGAGCCCCCCCCGCCAGCCCGCGCTGTCTTCGGCCCAGACGAAGGCACCTCACCGTGCTGGTGCGTCGCTTTTCTTTGCGAATGTCACGGAATGGGGGCCCCGTATCCGCCAGTTTGTGGTTGAGCATAAGAGTAAGTATGGCATGATGGCGTTTGTGAAGACTCACGTCACCGAGGCGGAGCTCATTCGGTATCGTGCCAGTCTGGACGTTGACGGTTGGAAGTTATCGGCTTGTGCTGCGGTGGGCACGGGTCGGTCTGCGGAGGGCACGAGTGGAGATGAGTGGGTTCTGGCGCGGTCCCATCTTGCTACCGCGTCCTTCGATCGGCAGAGGGCCCTGATGACCAAGGAGCGCCTGAAGGATCCCTGCCGAGGCTGGGTGCCAATTGTCTGGCATCTGCGTGTAGGCAACCTCATGGTGATCGCTGCCTACTTCTTGCCCAAGCACGGTTTCGGAGGCCTCAATCTTCATAGGTGGGCTTCTCTGCGAGCCTTTTTGGCATCAGTATCTGACCCGTGGATCATTGTTGCAGATTGGAACCTGACCCCGACTGCCCTGGGGCGCAACTCGTTCCTCAAGGATGTGGGAGGCACAATCGTCCTCCCAGATGTCCGTGTCACCTGTGACAAGGGCGCGGGGTCGCTCAATGCGGTGGCGTCAGTGTCGGTGGCAGACTTAGTCTCGGTCAAGGGCGTCCTCACCGTTCCTTGGAAGGTCCACTGTGGCCTCCATGTTGAGATACAGGGCACGTCGACGGCATGGTGGCACCGCGCTTTGGTCTTGCCGCGGCCGCTCCCTGCTGTGGATCGGCCACCGACGGCCCCTGACCCGCAGAGCAAAACCTACCAGCGCAAGCAAGCAGCCCTTCAGAGGCGCAAGGAGGCCCTGCCTCCAGATCATCAAGATGCGTTTCACGAGCTCCATCAGCCCCCTGATCTTCAGGGTTTGACTGGCGATGTCTTTGAAGTCAGCCTGGATCGATGGAACTCTAACTCGCCCTCTGGAGCGGATGGAGACGGTTGTCCGAAGTACACCTTCACGGCGGAGATGCGCATGATCAGCGAGTCTCCTATCGTCTCATGGGCCCTCGAGGGGAACGACCAGCTATCCCAAGACTATGGCAAGTGGGTCCACCAGGTTGAGCAGTCCCTCCTTGACCCGAACCTCACGGCCCAGGAGCGTGCGCCTTTCACTGGCAGGGCCCGAGGGTTGGCAGTCACTTGGAAGAAGTCGGTCTCGTCGCCTGGTCGAGGCCATTGGAAATATGATGGTGCTGAACATTGGTCGGCTATGGACACACTCTGCAGGAGGACCTTGGTCATATTCCTCCATGACAAGGATGAGGAGCAGATGTGTCGTGCGTTGGCCAGTGCTGCTGGTCGAGTTCAGCATCTGCGACAGTACCATTTGGATCAGCGACCTGACGTACAAGACAGAGCCAAGACGGCTCTTGATCAGATTGTCTCCCTACACGAAGGTGTCCACAGTCTTACCAGCGACCAGATGGTTGAGGGATCGTGTCAGGTCGTGGTGGCAGTCGAGGCGGTTGCAGCTTGTGAGGTGGCGAGGGGCATCGGCAAGGCTCGCAAGGCCTACGCCGACTGGGTCCGTCGCATGTGGCGCACTTCCCCTGGCGCCCTCCACCGACACGTTCGTGACCCCGTTGCCCCTCGGCCTGAGGATGCCACGGTGGTGACCACTCCCAGATCCTTTGCCGCCAATGCGGTGGCCGACCCCATCGCGATCATGGCCAACAAGTCGACGAAGTGGGGCAAGATTTGGAGCGATGCAGTGGATACCCCAGCTAGTATTATTCAAGCGCTGAGCGCAATACGGCACAAAGCAGCTGAGGAGGACATCCCTCCGTTGCACTGCGAGCAGCTCCAGGCTGCTATCCGAGTCACGGGCAACAAGAAGGCTCGTGGAGTTGATGGGCTTGGTGCTGGCGACCTGGGCCGCCTGCCGACCCATGCCCTCGAGGAGCTCAGGGATCTGTTCCAGCGATGTGAGGCAGCCCAGGCATGGCCGTTGCAGTTGGCGGCCACTCTATCTGCCCTTGCCCCGAAGCCGTCGGGAGAGGGGGACCGTGTGCTGGGCATGGTGCCGCTGCCTGTCAAGCTGTGGTCGCGTGCTCGCCAGACCTTCACGTCGCAATTGTGCCCTGCGCGTGCTGCGTTCTGGGACACAGCAGTGAGTGGCTCTTCAGCCTTGCGCGCTGCCCTCTTGAGGGCGACGCTCGATGAGGCGGCCCAGGAGCAGCAGATCAGCTTCCTGGTCCCCCTCCTGGACACCGAGAAGTTCTACGACAGCGTCTCGCTGGTGGGCCTCCTCCAGATTGGCCTGGACTTCGGCTTCAGTCCGACGGTCATGGGCCCCGAGGTGCAGGTCTACCTCCACCCGCGCTACCTGCGCGAGCGCGGCTGGCTCAGCGAGGCGATCTTCCCTACCCGCAGCATTGTGGCTGGATCGTCCCACGGGGTCCCCTTCTCCAAGCTGGCTCTCTACCCCATTCTGGAGAGGGTGCATCAGGAGGCCCCGTCGGCGTCACTGTGGACGTTCATTGATGATGCGGTGGGACGGTGCGAAGGCTCTGCGGAAGCTGTATTACTTGCTATGGATGTTGTGGGCACGTCCTTGGCTCGAGGGTTGAAGCAGCATTGCTTGGTTGTCCCATCCAAGTCTGTGATCCTTGGCTCGTCGGCCTCCCTGGCCAAGAAGTCGGCGCAGAGGTTGCGTGCGAGAGGAGTTCCTGTGAGGCCAGTATTGCAGGGCATCGACCTCGGCGTCGACGTTGCGGCCGCCAGGCGCAGAGTTTGCGCCAAGGCCATCTCGAGGCGAGTCAAGGCGCAGCGACGAGCTGGGCGCATCAAGAGGCTCAGACGTATGGCTGCACTTGGCCGAGAGGCCCGCTGCTTGTGGGCGACTGGTGCGTGCCCGCAGTCTACCTACGGGCACCAAGTCCATGGCACCTCCCCGTCGGCCCTGCTGGCACTGCGGCGCCAGGCTGCTGCTGCCGTCATTGGTGGCCAAGGTGGGCGCTGCTTGGCCAGCACACTGGCGGCTTCTTTCGGTTTGAAGGACCCTGCGGTGGAGATACGACGGCAGTTGGTTCTGGAATGGCTCAGCTTCTGGCAGGCTCAGCCGCAGCTACATCGGCGACTCAGGCTTGTGTGGCCGTCGATTCGGGGCCGCCTTGCGAAGGCGGAGAGGCGGCGCTGGAGCATTGTCAGAGGCCCGATTTCAGCAGTTATTGCTACATTGATGGATGTGGGGTGGGATCCTAAGACTGCGACGGTCTGGACCCGCCCGACTAGTGCTGGAGTTGATGAGTGGCACATCCCGTCGAGCGGCGACGAGGCGTTTGAGAACTTCGGCTCTACGACGGAGCTGATCGACGACCTCATCAGTGACATCCGCTCGGCGCTGTGGTTAGAGGCCAGTAAGCATGACAATGGCGAGGGCCTGGCTGGTGGCGGTGACTTCTTCCATATCATGAGGGAGCTCAAGCGTCACCAGGCCCGTGGCCAGCATGATGAACATGGATTGAATTTGACGGTCGTGGCTGGAGGGCAGTGGACCCGCACTCGGAGGCATCTCTGCGGGTACAAGCTGGAGTCGACCACCTGCCCACGGTGCAATAAGCATCCAGAGGCGCTGTTCCACAGGATTTGGTCCTGCGAGTGCAACGGCAACCACGACGACTACGACAAGACGGCCTCGCTGCTGCCTGCGGCGACAGCGCAGTATGAGAGCCAGCCCACTTTCTGGCTCCGTGGTGTGCCCACTGTCTGCATGACCACGCCTCGCTTCGACGAGGCGCTGCTGGCCGAGCTCGTGCTCAGGCTGCCAGGCGCTTTTGGTGAATGTGAGGATGGGGGGTGGACGGTGGTGTACGGGGACGGGTCGGGTGGGAAGCACTCAGACGACCCTCGTCGTCGCCGCTGTGGAGCTGCTATCGTGGCCCTGGCGCCTGATGAGCAGGGTCAGTTTCAGGAGCGTGCTGGCATTGCGGTCCCTCTCCTCGGGCTGAAACAGTCTGTCCCGAGGGCCGAGCTGCTCGCGTTTTGTCTCATGCTCGAGAATGTTCCAGGTAATGTTGAATTCGTCACCGACCATAAGAATATAGCCAGGTCTTGGAAGTTTATCCTTGAGAATCCCAGGGCCTCGCGTCTCCAGGAGGACCTCTGGGAGCGTGCTAGGAAGTCGTGGAGATCCAGGCCTGGCCAGCTCACGGTTCGGTGGACCCCATCTCACACGGATGAGAGAGCGAGTTTTTACTGTGAGCAAGAGATGCTCACGGCCATGGGTAACATGGCTGCGGATATCTGGGCGGGGAGGGCGGCGGAGTTGGCGTGGGAGAGGGGGCTGGTGGGGGACCTTCCTCGGACCGATGCGGTCGACTCTGCTGCGGCTATGATCAGGAGGCGTGCCCGCCGTGCGCTCCAGGATGCTGATGCTGCCGACAAATCGTCGAAGGCAGAGGGAGAAGTGGTGCCCATTAAAGCGGTACCGAAGTCAAGAGTAGCTCGAGCTCTCGCTGCCTCCGCCCACCGCCTCCACCTGAGGGGCTCTGTGTGGGTTTGCGAGGCGTGTCTCCAGGCTGTGCCCCAGTCGAGGTTCCTGGAGTTGAGTTCGAGCCCCTGTTTGCCTCCCCCTCCTCCTCCTGAGGCTCCTCCCCCTCCCAGGGCTCAGAGGATCACCCAGGGTATCGGTTTGAACTTGCAGGGAGTTGAAGTCCATCCGTCGCACTCGCTCGGCCGAGCGGACCAATTCTTCCTGACCTTTTGTCACACCTGTGGGGCCTACGCTACTGTGGACCCCCGTCATCTTATCGCTGAATGCCGCCCGAGTCGGAAAGGCTTGGAAAACTTGGCCCGTCTGGGGAAGGGACTCTACCCTCGTCGTGACGGGCCCCCTAAGGCTGTTAAGGTGGCGATGCAGGCTCGTGATGAGTTCGACGCCCGACAGGGGCGTCCGAGTGTGAGCGGAGCTGGATCGTCTAGCGATCCTGGCCCTGCTCTCGCTGTCTCTCAGGATGCGCCCGCGGGTCCAACCCCCTAATCCCCGAAGGCGCCGTCCTCCTTTGAAGCCACTGCCCCAATTGTCTCCCTGTGGGCTGGGGCTTTGTGGCCCGCAACGCTGTTGCTCCGATTGAATCCCCGCTTGAATCCTCCTCCTCCTCCTCCTCCTCCTCCTCCTCCTCCTTCTGCTCCTCCTCCTCTTCCTCCTCCTCCTCCTCCTCCTCCTTCTCCTCCTCTCCTCCTTCTCCTCTCGGCTCCCTCCTCCTCTCCCTCCTCCTCCTCCTCCTCCTCCTCCTCCTCCTCTTC